GAGCAAGGAAGCTACTAGGGGCTCCTAGCCTTACTACTAGGAGCAAAGACGCTACTAGGAGCAAAGGGCATCGCTCCTAGGAGCAAGGAAGCTACTAGGGGCTCCTGGCCTTACTACTAGGAGCAAAGACGCTACTAGGAGCAAAGGGCATCGCTACTAGGAGCAAGGAAGCTACTAGGGGCTCCTGCTAGGAGCAAAGACGCTACTAGGAGCAAAGGGCATCGCTGCTAGGAGCAAGTAAGCTACTAAGGGCTCCTGGCCTTACTACTAGGAGCAAAGACGCTACAGTACTAGGAGCAAAGGGCATCGCTACTAGGTGCAAGGAAGCTAGTAGGGGCTCCTGGCCTTACTACTAGGAGCAAAGACGCTACTAGGAGCAAAGGGCATCGCTACTAGCGGGCTCCTGGCCTTACTAGCTGTATATATGGACCGCCCCCTCCGGGCAGTTTGGGCCCTTCGGATGGCTTCGAGCACCCGGCTCCGTGATCTCTGCGCCACCGCAGAACATGGGGCCCTTCCCGGTGACCACAATGGCTTTCACCTGGTGATCTCAGGGTGGATGGATGTGGGCTCAGTTCACCTCTGAGGGAAGGAACATGAGTTTGCTGCTGGTGAGGATTGTGTTAGGTTTGGGAGGTGGATTTCTTATGGCACAGCTCGGGATCTGAACTTCGACACCCACATGGGCTTTGTTCACCTCACTTGACCCACACAACAAACGGGAAGCAAAGGCAATGCATGGTTTTGGGTTTTTTGGTGAAGAGACTCTCCATCCCAAAATTGACAACTGCACCACAAACGGGAAAACTACAACTGGAGGCGGTCCCAAGATCGGGGAGTAGAACTGCTTCCAGAGAACGAGGTCTCCAGAATGAAGGGTGACACGAATCTTTGCTTCCAAGCATGTTTCAAAGGCACGGACGGCTGTTTTGCCAAAGTCTGTTCCCATTGGCAGAAACGCAGAAATGGTGGTCGGGCCTGTTTCAATGCACTAAGATGCAGGTAATGCAGGTGGAAACACCGTGTTTGCCAAGATGAGTTGTCCTCAAGGGCCATCTCTCACGTTGCTGAGTCGAAGCGGATCGCCGCACATTCCAGTTTTGTACAATTTCGTATGTCTTCCCTGCAAAATCGCAGACGGCCGTCCCACTTTTTCTCGCTGGAGTTTCTCACAGAGTCTGGCGATGTCTGGCGGCTGTTCAAGGCAGCGTTAACTTCCGCCTGGGGCCCATTTTTCCTCGGTGGGAGGCGAAATCAAGAACGTGCTCCATGTCCCAACACAACGGCATGCCCAGTGGTATGCCGTGAAAAGGTAGTCTCCAGACTCCATGGAGTGTGCCACATCTATGAAAACTGAAAAATGCTGTGAAGATCGGCTGGCCATCCTACCCAAAGTTCGGTTCCCGGTGCCCCGGTACGTCCATCCACCAAACCTTTGGATGACCTAAAACCAAATCAAAGACGGGGGAACTAAGTATCTGACCCGGCTGGGTTACCAGGTTTCTCACACAGCTTCATCCATCTTGGATACCATCGAACTCTACTAGTAACACTATCTTACACCCGTGTTTTCTTCCTGCTCCTTTGCTGCCAATACAATAACTAGACCAAGACAAAACGTCCAGGCTCCCCCAAATCACTCAAATGTTCATTGCGAATTTCTTGACATGATTGACAAATAACTACTCGTTGTTGCAAAAACAACTGGATGTTGGGCGACGTCTTTTACCCATGTATACTATGTCTCTTGCACCACAAGTGCTGCGGGCATAGCATTGCCCCGCACCGACAGTGCTAGCGCAGCACAAGTCTCCACAGGCACCTTTGCCCAACTTCTCTTGAAGTTCCTGTTGGTGGGAAGACCGAGCGGAAACGGCCCTCACTGCACTGTTTGGTGAATACGTTGCGGCGCTATCTTGGGTTACCAGGGTAGTTTAGTTTTCCAGGTGCGCGCGTGCTCCTCAAAACGTGGATGGTGGCGCATGTTCTGCCTTAAAAGCATTGAAAGGGTGGGAGAGCTTCTCCGCGTGGGCCGCGTGGGTGTGGGTTCAACTTCAATCTGTTAAGGAATGGCACGAAGGGGAAACATCAACTAAAAGTCGGTTGTTGAAGAGTCCCGTGTATAAACACGCATAATGGACATGCATGAGATGGAAGCACCACAAAAGGAGATATCTTTGCAGATGGTTTCTAGTGCGAGATATTCAAAGGTCCATCGATCAAAAGGTTGATGAATCATGATGAATTAAAGTACATTCATGACTCTCTACCAAACAAGGAGGGAAGTCTCATCTTCCACATATTCCACCGCTTCTAGACCGCTCCACTATATGCCTCCGACCCTTCTCTGGGGCGGCAGCCACAGGCGCTAGCCCCCTAAACATGGCTTTTCAAAAACCGATGTTCTTTAAACTAAAAGAACAATTTCTTATTACTTTAATGAGCGGCAAAAAGACTGTTTTTTTAAGAAAGATGTTTTGACAACCGGGTTGCTCAGGCCTCGCAGCTCGATGTTCTTTACCCTACGCGCAGTAAAAGCAGTAAAAATCGAGAATTGTCTGTTCTTACTGTAAAACAAAAATCTGGTCAGAAGATCTGATGAGATCGAAACACAAAAATCAATGACACTCACAGGCCGACATTATAGCATGTCTCATTATCTTTAGTGTCCCTCCCTCAACGCCTTTCGCTCTTGAAGACAAACGAAACCAATGAGTGGACGAGGGATCACCTCAAGCCTTTTCGCTTCACATTCCTTTCGCTTCAAGTCCCTCCGTCCTTGCGGTTTCAGTCTATCCATTCGTTTCAACTCACCCCTTTGCGTTTCCAAGTAATTCTTTTCGTTTCAACATAACCTTTCAATTCAAGTCTGACCGATCCATTCATTTGATCCAAGATCTGCTTTCTATCTGTTCGTTTCAAGTCTCCTTTTCTCATTGCAATTCCAGCTCTTTTCGACTGACCTCGTTTGGTCAAATGTTTGATTCAAGTCACAGATCAATGTCTTCCCAGTTGGTCTTTAAAAGGTATGTTTTTTGTTTGTTCGATCCTTATCTATATTCACCCTTTCGTTTTTGGCATGTCATTTATGTTTCACCTAAAATAGTTTTAGATGATACCATTCCGGGTCTAGTCTAAAAACTTTCGCGACTACTGCAGTATTTGTTCAACCGGTTTCTGGATCATAGACCATAGGTGATCATAGCGTTACCATTCTCCCGAATTCTCCCAGCAACAACCGCATCAATTCCGACTTCTGACTTATGTATTTGATAGCTCGGGTCCCTTGGCCAGGAATCTTTAACGACCAAAAGCGTGGCAATAACGATACCTTGTTCTTCTAGAATTCGCGGTAAAACCGGTGTAAGAATTGATGTGTTTTTTTGCCGCGTTGCCCGAGTCCCTCAGCTATGGATTCTACCAAAGGGGGCGGTAAAAGCGGCAAATATCGCAATTTCTGTGTTTTTACCGGGTTGCCTGAGTTCCTCGGCTTTGGATTTGCCAAAGGCGCGTAAAATATAAACATCCAAATATCCCTAATTGCCGTGTTGTGAGGGGGACCTCCAGGAAATGTAAGTTATCATTTTCCATTGAAACATAGAAGGGGATGGGGATGTAAACATCGCAAAAAGTTAGTACCGTTTTCTCTCTGTGGCTTTCCTTCGCGAGTATGCGCGCGAACCGGCTTGTCGCATGTTCCATGTTGCATGTGCGCCGCCATGATCTCTCCATCTGTTCTCCTTATCCGAAGAAGGAAGCAAAGGGCATCGCTACTAGGAGCAAGGACGCTACTAGGGGATCCTGGCCTTACTGCTAGGAGCAAGAACGCTACGAACGGAGCTCCTTATCCTTCTTCTTGAACAGCTGATAGGCTATCTCCGCCCACGAACACTCGTCGATGGTCCCCTCTGCTCTGACCATCCAGGGGTCCACCGGGTCAGTGAGGTTCAAGGGGTCCTCGCCAAAGTCAACTGGTGGCGGTGTGCTCTTGGTGAAACCTGGAAGTGGATTTCTCTCCAAGTTTAGGATGGGATCAGCTTTGAAGCTTCTTGTGTTGTTTTCTTTTCAGGTGCTTTCATTCTGGATCCACTTCTAGGAAATACTGTTTGGCGCCACATACTTGGAATTTGGCACCATGACATATCTATTGCCATGGCTATAACCACCAGGACCTGGATTCAGTGTGGTTCTCATGTGTGTGTGTGTGTGTGTGTTGATGTGGCGGACCTTAGGCCTCACAACGATTGGCGTCACTGAGCGTATTGTTGATAGGTCGACGTCTTGAAACGGTAATTGCAATTAAATGCACCAAAATGTCAGTGATGTGTTCTAATTGTCTTCGTCCTTCGGAAAGATGTCCCTAGAAGGCCCTTCTCAACATGGAAGACTGGAAGACACCACACCAACATGGAGAGACCGTCCTTCATGTCAGCAAAGAGACTCGCGGTCATATGGATGGTCTCCTTGTAGGATGCCTTGTCATACCTGTCGGTCCAAAAAGAATGGCGGGGACCCGGCATCCATAGAGCGGTTTCTGTGGTTCCTGGTCCTTCCCCATCACAAAACCAATCAAGAATGGCTGGTTGTTTTCTGCCGACGGTGATCTCCAATTCTTGACCCACCTCGCGTGGTGTGGCCTCGTGCAGATCGACAGAGTTGCGAGTAAGCCCTAGAAAGGTCGAACATGATAGAAAAAGTGGATGGGTAGGAGCAAGAACGCTACTAGGGGCTCCTGGCCTTACTACTAGGAAGAAGAAGCTATTAGAAACAAGAATTCATTAGATTGCAAAACCGTCTACCTGGTACTGTAGTGGAGTCTGCACCCATGTGTCGTAAGCTCTGACACATCCAGGCAAGTGTCAAGTCTTGTGCACATGAGCAAAGGGCAACGACCAATGAAAACCAGTCGCCCTTCACTGGGTCACTGGGTCATCAAACAATCCACTGAGTTCCCAACAAAAACCAACCAGTTCGACCAGTACCGAACCGACACATCACATGAAGTGGAACATTGCTCACTCGGAAGGAGCGAGCTCCGAACAAGGGGGAACTTCCACACTTCCATGTTCGAGCAGGGAAGCTACCAGTAGTTCCTGGCCTTACTATGAGTAACAAGAAGCTACTAGTAGCTCCTGGCATCGCTACGAACGGAGCAAGGAAGCTACGAACGTAGCTCTGAGTTGGAGCCCGAGTTCAGCGAGCTCTGCGAGTTCAGCGAGCCCTCCGAAGGGGCTCCGCTGGACGAATGTGGAACGCCAGCTCGGTGCCAAGGTACTTGTTCAAGGGAGTGTTGATGGGGTGTGAGAGACCGAAATCTGCCAACTTGATACCCTGCGGACAGCCATCTTCATCCAAGTACTCGAACAAGACATTGCCATCCTGCGAAGAGACAGCACTGCTAGGGAAAAGCAAAGGACTCAAACAGCACATAGGCAAAAGAATGCTGCAAGTAGACGTCATCCAGTGCAGCAACACAAGTACCGGACCATCCAAAAGCCATCGGCAAATGGTGCCATGCCCAAGCTTGAATCCTTTCATACTTGTTCAACGTGAAGGTTCTTTGCAATTTGTATTGAGGAGGTGTCATTTAAAATGGTTAGGAAGAAGAAGCTACTAGGAGCAAAGGGCCTCGCTACTAGGAGCAAGGACGCTACTAGGGGCTCCATGCCTTACTACTAGGAACAAAAAGCTACTAGTAACAAAGGGCGTCTATGCGTGATTTGCAATTTTCGAACGACGACCCGTGGAATGACCTGTGGGCACCTCCACACGGTGGAAACACCAACCAGCCCGTAGGAACCCGCAAAATGCAGTGCAGGGACAGGAGCCCAAACAGGATATGCATATACATAGTACAATATAATATAGTATAGTATAATATTACAATGTTGCTTTTTAATGTATATAATGGGGTTCTCACGACACTATGGATGTGTGTTTAAAATGTGCAACATCAATCCCTTAATTAAAGCTGCGTCATATGCGCCTACACGTAGTGTGGGGTTTCCAGGGCCACTGGCATGTCCAGAACTTGCAAAACACTTCCATACCTGGACCCTCCAACAAATGGCCATCCTGGTGACAACAGGTGTCCAGAAACCACCTCTGGTCGGGCCCTAACACAAACTGTTGGAAGGTCCTGCACTTATTCCATGTCTCATGTCTCTCTAGGTTTGCTTTGGAAGGTTTACTCTGGGCTTTAACTCCAACCGTACAATCCACAGGTTTTGTCCGAACGCCTTTCTGCTCCAAAGAAATGCCCACGCCCAGCCGAAGCTGTCTACGTCCGCCTCTGTCGTGCAAAAAATACGATCCGCGAAAGCCTCACGCGAGGGCGTATCGATGCGCATTGCTCCGGTCCCACCTGGACCCTCCATTCGTATTCGTACTTCTAAATGGGTACAGTCGGAGCTGTTTTAATAGGGTCATGAGCCATTTTCTAGGGTACATACTTGAAGTGGGGTCCAGGTGTAGGGACAAACACCTGGCCAACGCTGTGACCGGAGCCTTTCGAACGACCACCAGTGGCATTCCGGTGCATTGGCGCGCGTTTCAACGGACACGAAAGAACACGCTGGCACTATAGGATCGGTGGAGGCCTCCCGATTCATGATTTTATAGTATTAATACTAAACTGACTGTTTTAGTGTAACTATACCAGAGTCAGTATAGGATGCATACGCAAACAAAAATGTGAGCAACATGTTGTTGAGCATTTGTGGATGCCCTTCCGTCATCATTGTACTACACTCTTACCACCAGCTCTCATGTCGCTCAGTTGTGTCGCAGTCGGCATAGTGCTTTTTTTTCTGCACTGGGGAGTAATATTCGACCCATTCAATCAAAGGGGGAGTAATATATCCCAAGTCCTTAGCCGGTACCTGCATGGCGAGCTTGTTGGTTAGGTTCTGGTCGGCTCACTTGACGGTTGATGTTGTTTCTTCGCTCCTCGCTTCGGTCCGCCTTAAACGGGTGACAAGCCCTAGTGGTTCCTGTCGTCTTGACTGCTTCGTGTGGACCAGTGGGTGGCACAGGCGACGTTCTTGCACATGTCTAGCTCAACCTTCCGCGAGATGTGGTCGACCACATGCACAGCATCGCCACATCTAGAGGTGGTAACAAACCTTTTGCCTGATGTTCCAGGCTCTGTGTTCATTCAGCTGACCAAAACATTCAAGAACAACAGAATATGAAACCCTTACCTTCTGAAGAAAATGCTCTCAGGGCTGACCACTAATTCCAACGCAAGAAGGAGTTCCAACAGTGCCTCCAGTGGAGTTGGTGCTCGAATGTTCGGCGCTCGGTCCAAACCGTTCCTCGGTGGGTCCTTGAGGTCGTTGTGGATGTAGCCTGCTGCATGCATGCAGTCCAAGCCGTCTTTGATGGCAAACTTCACACCCTCGAAGCATTTCTTGGGGATCTGCCAGAGAAAGGCGAGCAGATGGCAGCAGAGAATGTCTGAAGAGGTGCTGAATTCGCAGCGACTTGGCAGCGAACATGGGGTGGTGTTGCAGAAGCAATGATTGCAAAAGGTCCAGGAAGAAGGATGCCTTTTCAATTGGTCGAAATGCTGTTCTGCTGCTGTAGCCCTGGTTCAAGTTGACTAGTATGCCTGTGAAATAGCAATTGCTCTGCATTTATGTCCTTTTATTTTTAATGATGGATGAATTCCTGAACAAGTCCCTTTGTCCTGAACTTACCTGACACATCACCCGATTCAATTCGAATGCCACGAATGGAAGACCTCACATGCAGGGTCTGCTGCCGCAGCCCTGACTGCCAACATGAGGCCAAGGATCAGAGTTCCGGCATACTTGTCCCAAGAACAAAATAGAACCTGAGAATGTCTCTGCACAAGTATCTTCATGCGATGTTTTCTTTGCGGTACTCCTCCCCTCCCAAAGGGGTTTTCCGGCCCATCCTCCCTCCAGACAGGCCTTGTGTGTCCGGTGCCACTTTTCAAAATCCCACGGCAGCAGCGTCGTCACAAAGGAATTCTCCAAGGTCACTCCGTCAATGCATGGGTTTGCTTCCAGCAATGGTAAGACGTGGGCACCTGATCCACCGATCGATCCAGGAGATCTTACAGTCTGGGAAATTCACCATCTGGCCTCTGCTCACTCAGACCGTGTGAAAGTCCACCAACCTCTCATGGCATTAAACTTTTTTGGTACAAAGATCCCGAGCAAGTTGAGGGACTCAGTGTGAACCCCAGACATACCAAAAAAACCACGGGCAAGGCTGTGGACCGAAGTGGCTCCTCTTTCTACTTCATCGAAGTGGCTCCATCAAACAGAACTGGAAAAAAGGCCAAACGTCAATGGTTTGAACCTGCACCAATCCAACTGAACATCTGCCAGGGGAGGCGTTGTTCTTTCGAGATCTATTTGTGAAACTAAGCAATGAACTCACCAGCCCTCATGCAGACTGCCATCACAAGGCATTCCTGGCTCAGATGCTAGGTCGCAACTGGAACTCACTCCATATCTGGTCAAAACCAAAGGAATGCCCCTTGTAAATCTGAATCTGGCTTCAACATCGATCCTTGGGCTTTTTGCATCACATGGATGTCCAACTGGAAGCATTCTTGAGTAAAATGAAGAGCAATCCTGCGGGCTTGGAGGTCCTGAATGAGGGAGACCGAAGAAGAGTCCTAAAACTCAATCTATTTGTTGAGACAATCCACGCGACAGTGCACTTGACGGGAGACACCCACCCCTCAACACCCCTGGGTTGACCGGGCATGCTGCAAAGCACGCTCACCAAGCTCAGTCCTGTTTCTCCAAAGCACACTCAAGCTTTCCTGTGGCGGCCATCACTTCCAGCTCTTTCTCCGCTTCAAGAACACCTTCCTCCTGAGTCGAAGACCGTCGAAGGTCACGAGCGGCCAGAGTCGCGGGGGGCCGAAATCTCGCTGAAGAGCTTGCCTTGCGAAACTCACACCCAACACAGGTAGAAGGTCGCCTAAACCTTGGCATCCGCAGAAAGAGTTGCTCTGCTATAGGGGCAGCCCTTCTAAAGTGGTGACTATTTGTGACTATGGCCAGAGAGTGAAGGCCACGAATGGGGTCAAACTAGGTACCGGGCCAGTACCGGGCGCCGGTAGCTCAAAGTAGCAATGCTCATTCTTGGACGTGTGCCACGGAATGCTCACGGAGTGGATTATAGTGGATCAAAATATAGGCCCCAAAGCATAGTGAGAGAACATTCCACATTGATTACAGGTCGCATCGGCAAACTCTTTCTCCCAAATGAGTATGTGGATACAGAAAATCAGCTAGTGGCTGCCGTTGCTAGTTGCCAAGGTGTTTGCCAGCCTTCTTGCCTGTGAAACCTGACGCAAAGCAAGATCAAAAAAAGACTCCACGAAAAAGATTCAACCCCCGAAAAAAAAATAAACAAAACAGAGCGCTCACGAGCCGACAAGCACACCAGCAAATCCAGCAAACAGTAGCCCGTCCTGCAACCGACCATCCGCTCATCCAACTCACCCTCCTTTGGACCCCACAAACCCCTGGGTCCACCGTTCCGGTCCTTGGGCACTTTGAGGGCGAACTTCTGCGTCTGAGCGAAGGTCAAGTACTCGTACCAGCTCTGCACCGGCTCCACCTCGTAGACCGTGCCGAATTCACCTCGTTTCTGTCCGGGTTCCGGAACTCGTCGACTCCAAAAGAAAGGCGCGACGAAGACTCTGCTGCTCATAGACTCCAAGAAAGAGGCTCATGGGTTTGAGATGGTTTGGGGCAAAGTCACGTCTTCGGACTTGGTCCATTGGTGGCTGGTCGGGGTTCCTTGGATGATTTTTCGAGCTGGAGATCCAGACCTGAGGCTCTGTTCAACGCACCTATAAGACTTTCACTGTTATTGCGGCAAGTCCCTCCATGCCACCGTGGCGCCTTCTCCCAAAACGGTCTCCGTCTTGCGAAACTTCGAGGTGCAGGCATTGCGCGCGCTGCCTGCGCTGCCTGCGCTGCCTGCACTGCCCATCTCAAGCATTGCGCCAGTGTGGTCCGTCCTGATTGCCGAAAGTCAACTCTGGGTGGGGTGGGGTGTGGAGTCTTCTTTTTCGGGGCACCCGCAAAGTCTGTAAGCATTTCTCAAAGCCCCATGGACCAAAGATAACATAGCAGGTGAGGGATTGTCAAACGCTCCTGTTCTTCGATAGGGCATTGAATACAGTACTTTGGTCTTTCTCAGCCACTTAAGTTGTTCTACCCCTGAGGCCCATGGCAGCGCGGTAACCACCCACCCGTCTGGTATGGCGTCACCTATACTTCATCGGTACACTTTCCGTGTAAATGTGTTCTTCGGATAGGTTTAGAACAAAACCCGCAGCCTCAACCGTCAACCGAAGAAAGCGCGGACATGTGATCATGTCACACTCGAGGGACATCATCCAGCATCAGCTCTTGGGAGGCGTGGCTACTTGAGGTCACCATTCGGAAGTCAAGGGGAGGCCTTGAGGTCATCACTCGTCGATGTCCAGTTCAGCGACGTGCCAAGAGGCGAAGTCTTCACTTTCGGCGTCTTCGCCATTGCCTCCAAAAGCAGTGACTCGACAGAATGATACTCACTGGCAGAAAGCAGGCTTGAAGCCCACTCAAGAAGGCATGGATGCGAGCCAACGAAAGTGTCTCGCCACGCCCCTGGCAATCCAGATGCGAGCAAAATGGTGCTTTTTGCAGGGATCGTGATTTTGGGACTCAAGACTCAAGCCACCTGCAGCTCCAACGTTCAGACACAGTGAAGCTCAGAGATCTTTCAGCCTGACAGCCGATTCTCTCTCCTGCGAAAGTTTTCTCAGAGTTCGAGATTGCGGCAACTTTGCACTCACAGGGTGCATGGGACAGCATGACAACGTCGCATCATCAGTGCTTCATTCAGCCAAAGAGGTTCCCTTCTCAGCCTGACGCCATACAGAAAGAGAAAGCCCCGTCAGTTGCCACTCTCCTGCCATATCGTACTTCCTATAACGAGCTGTTTAAGTGTGCTCTGGGGGGCTTTGTTGAGGTCTGTGAGGAGAAATTTTATCCTAATACGTGTTTAAAAGAGACCTGTCAAGTCAAGATCACTACTGCGACCCCAGAATGATGGAATTGCGCGAAATTCCAACAGCTCCGAACCTCTTATGACGTGACACCGGGCATCCATCATGGATAGATGGAGTCCGGATGGAGTCAGCCCTTTGGAGTCAGCCTTCCATCCTGGCTCAACCACCTGCTGAACAAAAATTGAACTTTCTGCCGGGGACTGTTCACCGATGTAACGTCAAGTCAATGACCCTAGTCACTGGTCTGGATGTGCATGGCCCAGGGGTTTGATAGTCCAGAATCCTTGGACTGCTGGGTTAACAGGGCATGGACTGCATGGTGGGAATCCTCAATCGGCCAATGCTTCCGACTTGTCCAACCACCCTACGAGTAGCTGTCAGTAGCCCGACCATGAGGTTGAAAACTAGATAGTTCTTGTTCAACCAGTTCTCTGTCCACTGGATGGACTACTTGACGTCCCAAATCGTCACTGGACGGACTCGTCCCTGCCTCCTTTCGCTTTCGGGGCCTTGCAGGGCGTTGAAACCAATCAATGTCATGAAGATCATGGAGAAAATCCTCATCGCCATCCTCATCACCACTTCTTGCCGCCTGGGCTGTGAAAGTCACGGGCTGTGAGAAAACACAACGACCCACTGGTCACTCACTGGACGAGTTGCTGCGAGAGATAGCATACTCCTGTTCATGACCCAAATCCTGAACCTGTCAAAGGTGAGGTTGAAGACCCATATATAGCATGTTCACACGTCTGTGGATCAGGTGTTTGTAGGATACTGGATCTGCAGCGCAGAAGTTGGTCCATCAATCCGGCCATCAGGTATTCCTATATGCCATGAGCTACTAGTAGCGGCAGCGTCCTTGTTCCTAGCAATGCCCTTGGCTAGTAGTATCTGGGACCCTCCGTCCGCTGGCACCTCCGAAGGCGACTCCTCCTCCGCGTGCCGCAGGGCGACCACCGGGAACAGCGCCAGCGTGACGACCAGGAGGCGACGACAACACATCATTGATTCGACAGGACACGGCTTGAATTGGGAAATGACTTCGGCGAGAGTCCAAGAGACCAAGTGCAAAGATCGCAAAAGGTTTTAGGATGTTTTAGGTAATTACCATGTGGTCATCCCGTTGAACCGCCTGTTTGGTTCAACAAACCCCACTTCCCCGAGGTCCATGTTGGTTGTCCTTTGAACAGAAAGCTAGTTGAATTTGCTTCTTGGAGTCCTTGCACTGATCGTCTTTGGCTTGGGAGAGTCTGTTGTCTTCGTCTCAAGCTACGTGTGCCTTCAGGCACAGGCTAGCTGTACAGATCCTGACACTGAAAAATGCTCCTAGATGCAATTGAATAAAGACTCGTTGGGAACTGAGAATTCCGCACAAAAGACTTATGGCAACTTAGTAGCTTGAGTTGAATGTCAACTGGGTAGGTAGAAGACGGATCTACCTCATCGAGCTACAGTAATAACATGTGCATTGAAAAATAGAGTGGTCCCTCCCCATCTTGGCATGTCCTCCCCAAACCAACGCTCAATCTGAGTCTCCTTGGGTTCCTAGTTAACCCACCTGATCATATGCATGCTCCCCCATCTGATACCAATAGATTGACGGCTCAGATGGCAGGTCCTCAAACTTTGTCTTGCCAGGAAACGGTCTCGGAGGCATACCAGGTGATAAATGAAACCTCCATGAAACTCCAAATGATTATGGCTCCAGGCGGGAACCTACAGTATCTTTCCTCCGGCAGAAAATGTCTTATGTGCTGATGCCATGGTCCACAAGCAAGCTTCTCGGTATCACCTTCTGAAAGCCTCAAAAGTTCGACAGCTGGCTGTGACCAAAACCAAGCGTGACACGGGCACGTCCATCATTGATTCGTCTTGCAGGGACGTACACAGCTGGTCATGAACATAGTGACATAGATATGGAACACGGACATGCCGTCGATCATTTTTTGTGAAAAGGGGCCATGTTCGTCCGTCTCATTTCTTTTGCTGATGGACAACATCTTGCAAAACTTGTGACTTGGGAACCTACAAAATACCCTCTGTTCGTATTCCCCATCAAGGTTGTTGTGGGAAGGCAGCCAGGGATATATGAGCAAAGCCAAGCCCTTGCAAAAATAAACGCTGGTCTTTGTGTTCAGAGTGTCCTCCATGCGGTGGTGCCATCGAGCGTCGTTTCTGTTTCCACCGTGAGGCATTGAGGTTTCCATCAGTTCCACATCGAACCGCCATCCGGCCAAGCCTTTGGATCCTGCACGAGCTTGGGGAACTCCTGCGCAGCTGGGTATGGCGCAGCTATTTCGCCAGGGTGTCCTGACTCAACTGCCAGGGTCCCCCAAGTCGCCACTAAGAACTGCTGGCTCTTCAAAACCTGGCGCTTCACCCCAAGTTGGGCGTCCAACAAAACCTGAAGCCTCACGATGGCTTGAACCAGTGCCGAAAGGGAGTTACACCCAAATGCTATTAGTAACAAGAAGCTACTAGGGGCTCCTGGCCTTACTACTAGGAGCAAGGACGCTACGAACGGGGCTCCTGGCCTTACTACTAGTAACAAGAAGCTATTAGGAACAAGAATTAGAAAAACCACCAGCGGCTGCACAGTTCCCTCCAATTAGGACAGTTCCGGCACCGCGGGAACTGCCCGTCAGTCGCGACGCCAAATCGGGCAGGAAGGGATATGCGCAGATCCCGCGCAAAGGGCATCTGCAAACTCCGCCGCTCGGCAGTGAAGGATGTTGTGTTCGCGGATTGTAGAACGCTCCCTTTACAGCTGCTACCCACACACACACACACCAAACATGGAATAGCCACATAGCCAGCTGGTCACCTGCCATGAGCCATGGAACCAGAGATCCAGGTGACTCTTGTGCCAGACTCAGGCTGGCACTCATGATTCCTCTGTCCACTTGATTGGGAATTACTGTACTAGTAACAAGGGCATTACTACTAGTAGCAAGAAGTTACTAGGAACAAGGGCATCGCTACTAGTAACAAGAAGCTACTAGTAGCGATGCACTTGTTCCTAGTAGCTTCTTGCTACTAGTGGCAAATTAGCTCCTAATAGCGATGCACTTGCTACTAGTTCCGAGAGATGCAGAAAACATCTCACCATAAGACCAAACTGCGCCCTCCTACGAGGCATCCATTTCAAAGACCCCAAAATGAACGCTTCCAGCGCTGTTCCTCCAGGTTCCTAGCGGGTGGATCCATGGTGGGGATACCCTACAGGGCTCAGAACACTGAAAGAACCACTGACGGAGGAACAACTGCGGTTCCACTTGGAATTGATAGATAAAGCCAAAGCCAACAAAAATGGCTGTGGAGTCACCGGGATATCTTGCTTGACCTGACCTTGCCGTGAGTCAAGCTGACATGGTGTTGCGGCTGGTTTTGACTCCGTCCCGGTCCCAGGCACTTCAGGTTTCGGCGCCAGGGCAAACCAAAGGAACTTAGAACGGCGCCTGCTGCGCTCCTTGCCCCTACACTTTTGTGCCAGGCCGGCTTGTTCGCTTGTGGCATGGTCATGTTTGTCCAGTCCTGCCTTCAAAACCGGCGTGGCCCACACCCCAAAACACAGCCGAAGCGCAAGTTGAACAAACATGACGATTATTTGATAAGCGTGTCATCTACCCACCGGTGGCCCAACCACTATAGTAGCAGTGGGCGTGTGCACGATGTCCGTCATGCAAAAGGCTTGGCGGATCATTTGGTTTGGCGGATCTGAACCGCTTAAGGTGCGGGTCGTCGGAATTGACCGTGGTCCGGCCATGCTGATCCCGGCCATGCTTCGGTCCGTCACTATGTCAACCATACCAGTGGATATTCCTTGACCAGTGGATGCAAAGTGGATCCAAAAATGACCCGAAACACGTCACTCGAACTCCTGCTTGAAGGAGGTCACCAGTTCAGTGCCCAGGGAGTTCACTGGTGGCGAGTCCATGGTCAAAACGCCAACACCTCGGCTCGCCGGGCGACAGGGCGGTGAGCCCAGTGGTCGACCTGTGCGGTGACACATGACCTAAGGAGCAAGGACGCTACTAGTAGCTCCTGGCATTACTACTAGTAACAAGAAGCTGCTACTACTAACAAAGGGCATCGCTACTAGTAGCAAGAAGCTACTAGGTTCAGATTGCATCCCGGTCCCACACCTGGCAAATGGACAGGCTTGATTTCATTGCTTGGCTTGCAGGTCCCAGGTGTGCTTGCTGGGACACTTGGAATGCGATTTTAACTGCAGTCTTAAGTAGAACTGCAGTCTTAAGTAGATCACGAACAAGAAACATCGGCCAAATATACTCCGGTATTGGAAAGCACATAGGCTGCTAGTCTGGTTTGATCAAGCAATTAGCCTGATAGGGGTTGAAAGGGCCCCGCTGCATTGAGTTTGGATCCGCTGAGGGGTCACTCTTCATACCAGCCAGTAGCCATGTGCTAACATGTGCCGCAGACATGCTTTCGCAATTGGCACGGGTTTATCTCAGGGCGTGCATGGGCGCGCTGCACATGAAGAAGCTACTAGGAGCAAAGGGCATCGCTACTAGGAGCAAGGACGCTACTAGGGGCTCCTGGCCTTACTACTAGGAACAAGGACGCTACTAGGAACAAGTGCCTTACTAGTAGTAACAAGTGCCACGCTACTAGGAACAAGGACGCTACTAGTGTCCCATGGCTTACAAAGGAACTCAGCCGATCTGAAGCCGACCTCACCCCTCCCGGGTCTCGGACCATCAGGGCGAACACTGATGCTGGCCGGCATGGTCACCTGAGGCAGACTGGGAAGCAGCAAAGGTAGAAGGACTTGGGACCCACACAAAACCTGTCAAAGTCTTCCAGTGGATTAGTGAGTTGCTGGAACACACACATAGATCTTTGCCTTATGCCACTGTTTGACATGCTGCGCCTATATATAGTTCGTTTCAAGGCTTACTTCCTATAGACAGGTGGACTCTGCCTTTGTTCCCGTGAGTTTCTGGACCAACAAGTGATCTGCACCAGCGATCGATCGAATGCACCATCAATGTGTTAGGAACCATCACGAACCATGTCGAATCTTGCAATTGTCTTGGCTCAAATAGTCGGGTGATGTGTCAGGAACGCGGCTTTGCAGGGCTTAAAGTCTGTGGGATTTGAGCCAAGAGTCTTGAGGGAGATCAATCTATCCTCTGTGGAATATTCCTCCCATGTTCAATTTCCATCTACCACGGAACGATGTATAGTAATGGTCTTCCAACGACATAATGTTCCATGTTCTTGCTGACACAAGGAAATAGTGTTTTTCTTAGTTGGCGGTCATGGCGTCCTTGTCACCAACCACCCATTGATGTTGTACCGGCTGCATTCGGTCAAAGGGGAAATGGTTCAAGACTGGTATCTAAGTGTTACTTGAACGCAAACAACTGGTAAAGTTTGCGGCGTCAATGCCCAACATGGCGAGAAAAAACACCAACCACCTGACACCAAACAGACTATGCACTCTCCAGGCAACGGCCTAGGGCCTAGGAGATTGCCGTGATCTCATTTGTGCTCTTTCCGTGCTCAACACGTTCCGGCAACACCGCCTCAACGCGGTCAGGGCACGGCAAAAGGGTGTCAGGGCAGGTTTTGAGCTAAATGCTGCAGTACCGCAACGCTGCATGCGCTGACGCACACCTTGCACCAGGTTGGCCGTGAATGCTAGCAGCATCTAGCAGCTGCTAGCATGAACGAATGGCTGTGAATGCTAGCCCATTTTCGTTGGAGAGTGATCCCGCAGCACCGTTCCAGGAATCCACAACTTCTATGATGGACTGCCTGTCTTAAACATTCTTAAACCTAGTACTACTGCTAATACAAAAACTAGCAACAACTAGCACAAAGGTTGCGTCAACAGTCACCACACAAGTTCTGCAATCTGCCGAACAAAACAATTCCATAGTCCTCAAAAAACCCTCACTCCATCCACTTCGCAGTCCGGTTAGGTGACCGACTCTAAGTCTGCCAAGTGCCCCGAAGAGCAACAAAATCCCTCAGATCGCCACGACCCGCAGGTAGAGCAACGGCCCAAAGACCGGCGCAAAGGTCTGCGGGTGATTCCGCAACGCGACCGTTAGCGCTGGTAGGAGCGATCGTCCAGTCGATGGACATCATCAATTCCAGCTCAAATAGCGGTTTGGAGCA